TTGGGGTATATATAGGGGAGTTGTTCAGCACCAATTCAATACCAATTACGGTAATATTACGTTGCGTGTGACAGCAAATATACGTATTATTACATTATCGGTAATCATATGTTACGTTATCAGTTGGAAAAATAATCTATTACATTATCAGTTATTTTGTGTTACATTATCGGTTGGAAAAAAATCTATTACATTATCAGTTATTCGTTGTTACATTATCGGTTGTCTTTTTTGTTACACTATTGGTTGTGTGTTGTTACATTATCGGTTTTTATTACAATATCGGTTAATTCGTGTTACATTATCGGTTAATGATACATTATCGGGAATGTATTACATTATCGGGTCCAACATATATATATATAACACCTGTAGCTGCAACTCGTCTGTAGTTTGCAGCATGGAAGCGGGAACATGGAGCAGCGGTTACCAAATCCTGAAAGCTTTACAATACTCAGTCACCTAAATGCAATCTATCTAAGAATATAACGGATAAGTCAAATCGTTGGCGTTCAAGAAAAAGTGGAACTCGTCTTCATTATTACATACAATTGGGCAAATTCTTAGATGCCTAGGTATATTTTCCCATCTCTCGTGCTCGATATTAAGTGGTGACTTGACATGTGAAAGGAAAGGCTTCGTTAAAGATCACTCTATTGACCTCCCCAACCTTTAACGCCTAAAATACGGTGAAGAGCAGACTGCACTAATTATCTCTTCATTTCAATCATATATTGTATCAGAAAGCCCAACTGATTACCTAAATTATCCAGTTGGTGTTATACATGTATACAAAAAATGACTAGTCTAAGAAAATTTGTAAGTCTCTATTCTTTTGCTATGTGGACAGCAAAGTTGGTCTTTATAGCACCTTCCCCTTCAATGATAAAGCGGATCACCCCCCCCCCCTTCCAAGAGACTTCAGAGGACATCTGCATGTCATGTCTTTGGAAAGGTTTACATTGTAGGAAGAATTCAATTCAGTCTTGCGATACAAGTGTCACAAGAACAGGTGCATGAGTGGCGGAACTAGCCTCATTTCTGGCCGGATTGCTACCGCTGAACGAAGCAATAAACACGTTGAGGACAGTGATAACGATTACGAGCAAGGTGGCTATGTTGTTAAATAGGTCAGCGCGTTGTTGTTGTTCGTCTTTATTGATGTTGTACCTCAACTTGAAAAATAGCAAAATCGCGGTCATTAGCTGAAATGTAATGGATAACGCCAACAGCGTAACCAAGAACCAGAAAAAATTAGGCTGGTTCCCGCTATTGTACTGTTGACATAGTAGGTTTAGGTAAGAGGTGTTGGCTGTCAACAGAGCAATATCGAGCATGCCCTGCGTCACTGTCTTCTTGCTGGCGTATGTATTTGCGTTGAATTTCTTGAGCAACGAGTATTGAGTGTTGATCTTCTCTCTTCGCTGTGGCAATGCCCCCTGAGCTTGGTTTCTATCCTCGGGGTTTTGCTTGATAATGTCGTATTCTACTTGCCTTTGATCGTGTTCTGATTCCACTGTATCACCTCTTTTTAAAATCGGTCGTTGGCGGTAATGATTGTTGGTGTGGGAATGTTCCTATCGGAAATGGAAGCAACACAGGTTAATGTAGCATAACAATAAACCATTCAACAAATATCATATGTATTGTACTATTGTTAAATTTCATGATGTATGCCGATGATACACAATTATATATCACGTGTAAAAACGCCTCTCTAGACCTGTGATTGAGACGTGCATTGATGAAATTCGGAAATGGGTGGTGTCGAACAAAATGGTTTTAAATGACAGAAAACTGAAGTGATACACTTGTACTCAAAATATGGTAAGCATGGGCGTTTATCATGCCTTCGCATCGGTTCTTGTGGAATCCTCCCTTCTGATCTGGTGAGGAATCTTAGGTTTCTTGGGTTTGATAGTTTTGCTTTATCTCATAAACAAATTTCAAATGTGTGTAAATCAGCCTTATATTGGCCGTATTAGAAATGTTTTAAATCGTAGTAATACTGAGCAGTTAATTTACGCTTTCATAACCTCCTGATTATCTGATTGCCCGCCATCAACGTATTCAAATTCTGCAGCTCGATTGGTACCCTTTCACGTAAACATGAGCACATAACTCATGTTTTTCAAATCTTCACAAATTACCTTTTTCCCAGCGTATTGTTTAACGTTTTA